CTGCCTTCCAATCTATAAGGAACATAAAGCATATATTAGTGGCAACCTGACACGAGAATACAAGCCATCACTGGGTCACTACAAGGCTGATCGCTGACTCCCTACTTTTTAATTAAACTCACGGACATACATATCAAAGTGCCATTAGTCAAAATCCTGACATGGTAGACAATCATTGTTATCCTTAGATGAGTCCCAAGCAGGTTAGACAGGGTGGGCACAATACCCATCAAGCTACCCAGCCCTCTGTCCACCCCATATTTAGTTCAGGTTCAGGGTCACTGACCAATGGGTCTTTACCTGCTGTTCTTCAATTGTCACACGTTTCAATTTCCTTTTCCTCTTGCAAATGTAACTGTTGTTTAGTCCAGCCTAAGAGCTATTTAATGGTCTTTTCATTGTACAAACACTGTCATTTTGTTGCCATTTGCTACTGTGTCCTTCTGTTGCTGTTGCTCTGCCTTGTCCTCTGAAGCAATGAGAATAGTCACACTCTCTCAGCTCCAGATAATGCTCTCACCAGTGTAGTTTCTCACCTGTTGACTGTGATTTATGTGAAGACTGATGCATGATGAACCCACATGCGTCCCTGACAAAGTCAGTCTAGAGTTCCACAATGCCTTGCATGTCCTCTAAAGGCACAGATGCAGTAAAACCTCATTAAATCAAATTCCATTAACTCAATTCATGAAAAATAAGGACAAAAGTTACACATGTAAAATAGACAGGTACTGTGTGAATAATGAGTTGAATATTGATTATACTTTCACAAAGTCGGCACTTCATTATTGTTTGAATGCAGTAAGTAGGAAATAGTTGTTGAATGGTTGTCTGCTCATGATCAGTGATCATAACCTCAAAATCCTCCAAATTCCACATATGCAATGTTAATGATAAATAGACTGTTTTATGCATTTTTCAAATATGGAATTTTCAAATCTTAAGCCACTGTCATGAAAACATGACAGAGACATGATGAAATAAACATTACTGGTATATGTGAGTGAGTGAGTGAGTGAGTGAGTGAGTGAGTGAGTGAGTGACTAAGTGACTAAGTGAGTGATCTAGTTTTAAGAATATTTCAGCCACAGAAACGACTCGAAATGGTTTCACACATTTTACCCATGTGTGGAATCAAACTCAGGTTTTAGTTCAACATGGAACACTTGGACGTACACTACTAGGACACCCCACTGCCCCAGCTATAGTCAGATATGTAGAGAACGTCCATCTATGTATATTTATGTTATTATTGATCAAATGATATCAAACAATATTAATTGCTTCATTTTGCAAACATCCAAAGCAAATAGAGATGATAACTGGATGTATTCAGCTGTTCGTGGTCTGGGCAGATAGAGTCGAGTTTGTGTTGAGACGTACAGCCAGGACAATGCTGTAGGCCTAGAGAATGCATCAGGACTATCAATACTACCATGTGATCTTCTCAATGTCCCATGGATTACTGACCATCGTTCCTGACCACAATCCAGTTTTCCACATTAACTGATTATCAAACCTTTACAATTATTGTTAATTGGATTAATGCTGAATTTCGTTAGTATCATCATTCTTAAAGAGCATGCATTCACTGAATCAAGCACTGTATGTAGCCTGATGCTAGACATCTGAAGATGATATGCACACATATAAATCTTATTTCTTATGATTGGTTTCCTGATTCTAGTGCATTGCTAAAGAAGGCTTTGTCATTATCCCAGTAATCCCTTCTGTGGGGAGTGAGTGAGTTAGGTTTTACTCTGCTTTTAGCAACATTCCAGCAATATCACAGCAGGGAACATCAGAAATGGGCCTCACACATTGTACACATGTGGGGAATCGAACCTGGGTTTTCGGCATGACGAGCAAACGCTTTAACCACTAGGCGACTCCACCATCCCCACCTCCGTGGGGAAGAACTGAAGCTGGTTTAGAATGCCTCAAAAGGAAAAGATTGAATATTTAAAGTTTGGACATCCACAAAAAGATGAATGTGTTTTAAACATTTCTGAATGGGATAATTTTCAAGATGTGCATGGTTGAAATCTTAGATTTCAGTTCAAGCAATCAATGGTTTGAATAGGATGCTGGGCAGAAATAAGTTTTTGGTACAACTCTATTTGTAGAAATTGACCCCCAAAAATATGGTTACTGTTTTTGTTATAACAGTAAAAACAATGTAGCATTTTTGGGGGGTACAGTAATTCTTTTGAGTTATATTGGTATGATAAAATTAAAGCGTTCCGGAAAGAAAAGTGCAGTTGGCAGTCCAAGAGTTATGTTATTTTCATATTGACCCACTTTACATTTATCATATTACCAGTACTGAAATTTAATAAGGGGAATGACTTAGGAAAATGATTGTTACTTAAGTTAGATTTTAATCGACATTTGTGAAATATTTGGTAAGCAGGACCATAAACCAAGCAATAAAACCCTTGCCTAATTGAGATAGATATGAAATTAACTCAAGTCAAGGGCAGCCTTTGTGACACAGCACTGGAGCCTACATCGGCAGGGACTTCCCTCACACTTGGAATGTCTACCGAAGAAGCTGAGCAGTAAATCCTCGCGTGTGTAGGGATGTCCCAGATGAATCTAAATCATAAAACAGGACACCAGAACAGGCCACAATGAATCTGAACCTTATATGCATTTTGAAAAACTTCACAATAAGATATACAGCCTTGTATTGATGCATGCAAGATTCCAATGCATATGTGTAGATGACAATAATCTTCCATTTTGTGATCAATACACGCTACAGACATAATACAAACACGAACATTTTTTAAGTTTATCAGACAACTTTATGCTGAGTTATGGATTCGCAGGATATAAGGAAGATAAGCTTGAGCATTTCTGCTAGATGGACTGCTTCGTTTATGGTTAGGACTTCTCATATCTTATCATCATAAGCATGAATCTCTTCTATACCTCCCCGCAAACACCAAACATGGCTTTTGTGAAATTTATTGACATCCCACTGTCACACTCGCATCTGAAATATTGATCACAAAGCGTGGCAAATCTGGGAAAGGCAAACATTAGCCGACTACGATTCTTTCGTGGCTGCTTTATCTTGTTCCATCATTCGATTGGATATTTCTTCCGTGCATCGATATTTGTAATGTTATTTCTGCAGTTGCCTTTTAATTATTCATCTCATTTGAGAAATCTCAGCCACACCTGAGTTTGGTTGATTACAGGTGTTAAGTTTACCTTCCAGGTAATGAGCAAGGTGTACAGCAGGGAGCATTGTTAGGTCCTGTCATATTGATGCTATTTCTTGTTATGAAGGATATAATAGGTTGACTTCATAGTTGTTGATCCAGGGTCTTTACAGAAGTGCGTTTGAGCATAGGTGTTGTGTTTGAGTTCAGACAAAGAAATATCTGGGATACATTATTCCTGATATTCTCAAATTAGCGGCAAGTATCAGGCTACTTCCGTACATGTGGGTCTGTATCACCAACATCATGTCATGTACTAATTAGTTCAGTTAAGTGACACATCAATACAATCAGAGTACGAAAAGCAGATAACTACCCATCACAGATATTAGAATTCTCTGAATGATATTTTCTATATTTAGCATTTGCATTCACAGATAAGGGTGTAACCACAGTGAAATATGATATTCACACATTACCAATTTTGGTGTGTCGTTTTTTACACTACAATCTTAAGTAAGAAATCATGATAAAATAAATTTGATGAAGGCACAGTTTGTGGTAATTAGGTGTATATGTGATTGAAAATCATGCATTGCTTGCTTGCTTAGTCCAAGCAAATTCAATTACATGGATACAGGTTCAAACATGCTAAAAAATAGATGCTATAATATCTAATCTTAAAAAAATAAAATAAAACGTCAACCCCAGGGAATAATAAGCCTCTATTATCTGCTGAAACACATTCCATTGGGCGTTAAAGGCAAAATAGTGATAAAATTATACGAATGGATAAGTGAAAATCAGTCATGACACCAGGTGTTGCAAAAAGTGTAAGCATGGGTTGCTCTAACACAAAACACTGATTTGCACTGATATTGTTTCTACAGTGTAAAAAGCCTTGGCAAACCACTTCGATCTCAATATCTTGTTTTGAAAATTAACTTCTGTGTATCTGAAATATTTTGTCTTTTTTCCCGATTTGAAACATTTATTGCAAATATCATATTATCTGTAAAACAAGTAATAAAATTGGCCATCTCAAGGTCACCCCATGAAATAAACAGTGCCATTTAATATTCAGTTTCTTAATTGATACTAACAAATTTTCATTAAAATATTCTTCTAATTGTGGCTCTGTAAAGGACATGAGCAATGAGTTATGCATTACAAATGCTATTGCAGGCATTCTCCCTATATCTTCCTCTTTGTATGGTAAATTTTGATGTAACATATTAAATACTTATATTAATAAAAAGAGGAGCATTTCAGGTTGTTCACTAATCCTATTAATTCTCATGTAAATGTATTTGCATATTTGGAATACTATAGTATTTAAAGCATATGTAAATTTATCATGAAGATAATCATGAACGCACTAAATGTAACGCTCTACAGCTTATCAGATGAAGAGTTTCTGCTAATACTTGCAAACAGTTCTTTATGAAGGTCACTTACACAGCTTTACAAGTCTCCTTAAACCATTAAGCAGCAAGCATACTAATACCTACAATGTCTATGCAGGGCAGACAAGACTCCGCTTTCCCCAAGTACAATAAATCCAATATGTTAATGTAGCAAGCTTTGTTTGTGGCCATTCAGTAGGTAAAAGTTATAGTAAGTAGTGGAGCCATGAGGGAGCATTTGTGATATAATCCTTTCATTATGAGTTATAGTAATGCCTTGAGAGTCTAGGACGTCATGCATGAAGTGGGGAAGGGCCAGGCCATTAGGCCTGTTATAGTGTACATGGAACAGCGACAATTAATTCTGCTTGACTTTAATGTGAAATTTCAGGCAGGTTTACCTATGTTATTTTCCTTTCAGAGATTGGCTGTGATTCGAAGTGGATAATTGGTTGTGAAGTCTCGGATGTTTCTTCTCAGGTAAGTTCTCAAACTGTTGAACATGTGCATATAAATATCTTTTCATCATAGTTTACATAAATTGGAAATATGTGAATTATGAAAATGACTGAACATTTAGTTTGAGATTATTCCTCCTTACTGTATCCAAACTATCATGGGCCAAGGATTGTTATGATGTGATGAGTAAGATGACCACGTTACAGTGGTAGCATCTTTAGTTTGAAATTTCAATCAGCTTCAGATCAATGTTATTACAGGAGAAATTGGTTTTATCTCTTATTCCAAATTATATTGAAACTCATAAATGTCTCACACATCATATGTTCTTCAACTATTGTTATCATATAAGAATAACATATTTATCATTTATTTTACCATTTTTAAATTACTGAAATATATTAAGAAAATTATGTTATAGATATATGATTGTTTACTATTATTAAATATATTTCAAAATGGCTGACAAATGACAAACCAGACAACATATCAACTCAAGGTGGCACAGTCTTGTGACATGATATAAAATCGTATTTGTACCTGAATGTTTGATCGCTACCACTTACAAAGTACCACCCATGAGCTTACTTAGCAAAGACCAGCACACAAAGCAAGGAAAGGTGTCATTCTATGTACGAAAAGCAATGGCCCTTTAAGAATGTTTTGAGTGTGATATCTACAGCTGGGAAGGTGATTTATTCCAATAAATTGTTCCATAAACATTTCAGGGATCACTGTTATGTAAATGCTATAGAGTACCTCACATATACGATTGTCAACACGTGGAGCTAACTGTCTGGAAATTTGAATATTATAATAGAAATCACAAGAGTTTTATTGATACGTTGTATAAAGGGTAAATTTGTCAGTGTGTAGAAAACATACCTTGGCACTTATCCTAAGGGCTGCAAGTGCAACTCGTATCTACAAACCCTCCCGCACAAAGGAGTCATACGAGTCATTTCTTCGCAAGAGACGTACCTATTGAAAATACAGTTTCCTAAGTCTGACTTGTAACCTGTAAGGAATTACATTGCCTCAGAGAGTAGTAATAAAGCTGTATGATTTGTAAGTGGGGCGTTTACAAGTACACTCTTCAATGAAACTAAACTGAGAGGGTGTGGATGGAGGAGAAAGTTATGCGTTATTGAGAGTTTGTGATTTCGTAAGTTATGCATCACCTATTTTCTTTGACAAGATTACTATTTGGAAAAGAATGGATGCAGTTGAATGTGTTTTCATCAGTTCAGTTTGCTGCAATTTCCTTCTTTGTAAAATTAAGGTTTGATTTAATGGAATCTTGATACTTTTTTGTTGGTATGTTGATACAGAATTAATGGATATCAGAAATTTAACAGGACATATTGGTATAATTTGTCCTCTCATTTTATAAGAAGTTTTGGTTTGATAATTAAAAAAACCATTACTGAACATATCTATACTTTGCCTCAAATCAGTTTATAATATTATAAAACATCAACGCCACAAATTAACAGTGAGTGAGTGAGTGAGTTGGGTTTAACGCAGCTTTTAACAGTATTCCAGTTATATCACGGCGTGTCAGTTTAATGTGGGAGGAAAGCCTGAAGTGATGCAGGTCTCAGACGTTTACCACTTCGGTGAAACCCACGAGCACGAGTATGGTGCTGACAAACCTATAAACATAATCGGGGCGAACCGGGATTCGAACCCATAATCATAGGTTTCTGGCATGCCCAAGGGATGCAACTCTGCACAGCGAATCGTGGCGCCTTAGATTACTGGGCCGCCCGTGCCCCCCCACAAAATAACAGGTTCCATTAGGAGTAAACGGCAAAATGGCAATGAAAATTATACGAATGGATCACTGAAAATCAGAGATGACACCAGGTGTTTGAAAGAAGTGTAAGCATGAACAATGATCTCATTTGAAAGTCAAAATTTAGATTCCACAGCATACAAAATATATTCAGCAAACACTTCAGTATATTTCTCTGATATTAATCAAATTTAATGCAAATCATGTTTGCAAGGTTTGTACATGATCGGATATCAGCTTGCTTTGTCATGTATTTCAGTCTTACTGGAATTCTGTCATTGAAAACGGAGTCACATAACACATCATATATGGAGCCTCACATGCATATGTCCAATTTCAATTTGTGATCGCTGGAGGGTGTGAAAACTTGGAACATTGTTCAGGAATGATCCTCCATTGCAATATTCAGATTGAGAGTTCTTAAAAGCTGAAAGCCCTGCTCTTAAAATTCCTCTCTTTGTGTGGAGTCTCCTTCAAACCTACCTCTTTGTCCAGCACAATCAATACAAGGTCTTTGAGGCATATATTACACACACACACACATCTAGGAATAATATTCATAGCTGGTTGGGCTGAACGTAGAACCAGGTCAGCAAGTGCAAGGAAGGAAATTAATGAGAGACTTTTTACACTTTGGTCTCTGTACTCTGTGACTCTTCTGTGCATGCATTTACCATTCAGTCTCAGCAAGGAATATATTGGATTCTTATTCAATGAATAAATTGCTTAATCAAAATGTGGTCTTAAAATAACATTTCATTGTGAGATTTTTGGTGCCCCACTGTGATGAACGTGATAAAATAAGCAGTGATTGTGTTTATGTGTATTGATTTCATCCAGTTTTTAGGTATTGAAACTTGTACTGTCTGTGTTTGTCTGTCTGTCAGTCTGTCTGTCTGTGGGTCTGTCTGCTAGCTTGCACTAGTCCATACTATCGCTGGTTTTATAGTGCTTTATATTTTAAAGTTTTTTTGGTTTGGTTTGTTGTTTAAAGCGGCACTCAGCACTATTCCAGCAATATGATGGCGGTCTGTAAATAATCAAGTCTATACCAGACAATCCAGTGATTGACATCATGGGCATCGATCCATGCAATTGGTATACGATGACATGCATCAACCATGTCAGCAAGCCTGACAACCTGATCCCGTTAGTTGACTCTTGTGACAAGCATAGTTGACTTTTACGGCTAACATGGGTTGCTAAAGGCTTGTTCTACCCCGGATCTTCACAGGTCATTTTTAAGTTTAATCTATGTATGTTGTCTGTCGTATCCCTGTAGTCTGTTCAGCGATCAGGTAACGTCACACACAGAAAGCGCTACATACATTGTACACAAATATCTATTCATCTGAACATCCTGCTTCCCAGGTCCCCCACGACCCCCGTCATCCCTGACAAGCTCTGTACCTGCACACACATGCTAGGTTGGCTAACAGCTACATGTTCTTTCATCTCAGCTGTACACATTTCCTTTTCCTTTTATCAACCCTCCAGGCCACCGCAACAGGTTCATCCTTTCACTGAATGTCATTTTAACATACTACTTTCTGCACAACTATTCATAAACTCACACATTTACACGCCCCCTCAGCCCGAATCTCTGCTCATATCAGATCAGGATGACAGGACCCTCTAGATACGTGACGTAGACATATTCTTATTTGTACACTTATCTAAAGCAAGTATAATATTTCAAAAAACATCTTTTAAACCTAACATAGTGGGTGGGGTACATCACGTGACGATTGTTTAGACAAAAAAAATGTGTGTGATTCATCATTCAAGTTGCTCAAATATCTTTAAAAATTGCAGTTTGATGTCGAAGATGGTAGCCTGATCCTCCATGCAGTTTGAGTGTCTAGTCTTTCAAGTTGTTAGGGCAATCCATCCTGTCCCCTCTATGGCATGTGGGGATACATGTGATCCTCTCAGATAAGTTTTCTCAGCCACTATTGTGATTCCAGGTCTGACTAAGCCACCAATACCCCATGTTTGTCACAAGAGCTGACTACATCCATGGTCTAGTGGATAGAGTGGCGAGCAAAAGGTCGGTGGTTCGACCGCCAGCTGTGTCATACCTAAAGACATTAAAAGATGGTACTTGTTGTTACCCAGCCTGGCCCTCGGCATTAAGGGGATAAAACAAGGACTGGTTGGTCAGAGTCAGTATACTGTCTGAGTGGGTTGTCATGTTTTAACTGTGGCTGTATCTCAGTAGGCTAGCACTATAGAACCAGCATTAGTCTGTACTAGTGTGGTGAACCAGACACGCACATGCACACCGTACAGTGAAGGCATCATCTCTATATGTCCTGGGGGAAGTTGCAGACATAATGGTTGGGCCACATGGGGATGAACATGGGCATCTGGTGTCCACAATGGCTGAATAGGGACAGTACTGGGACTGGCAACTAATAATGATAACTAGACATTTGTATAGTGCCAGAATCAAGTTGAAACAACTGCAAAAAAGTGTCTGTGGAAATTATGTAAGAGTGAATATTATCCTACCTTATTTTTTATCTCTAGTGTCAGGTGGATTCTCCCTGGTGAATTTGAACCCATACCAGTGTGTTTAATATTATCCTATACTACACTCTAGAGTAAAACTTCCCCTGGGATAATATTTAGGTAGGATATAATCCTTGTTTACAACTACATCCAACTAGATATATTAACAACAGTAAATAGACAATGATAAAGATGACCATAACAGGCCTGGTAATAACTATTGCTACATAGCGTAAGCCTCAGTATTTATAAGAGATGAGTCTTCAAGTTTGCCTTGAATGTTGTGATTTCTTGGATACCTCTGATATTAGACAGGAGTTCCATAGCAAGGACCTGCTCTTGAGAAACAATGATCACCACACTTTGCTGACCGTATTGAGGGTCAGACATTAGATGTTGGTTCCTTGACTACAAAGGAAGATGACTCTCAGCCATGAGTCTGATGATTGTGTGTTGTCATACATGATGGCAAGACTCCATGTTCATGTGATCTACCTCCCCGGAGCCTTGTCTGGGCCTGGTCATGTAGCTGATTGTCAGATGTAATATTGCTGACTGTCATGTTAAACCCGACTCACTGACTGACTCAGATCCACATGAGATTGTAAACATCTTGTTGCTGCATGGGTTCCGTAATGTGGATACATGGCAGATTATTCTCCAATTGTAATTGTGCAATACTTGAAAGGCACTCTTTGCTCTTGGGATC